TTCCCATTCTGAAGGTGACAAAAGCTGTACTCGATGACGGTACAGAACATAGAGGAAGCGACTGTCGTTCTCCTATCGGAGCTTAGAAAAGTGCTTGGCAAAGAAGTTATGATAACGTAGTGAGATGACGATGAAACCTCCCGACAGCTTTCTCACGAATCAGATGCATTGTTCTTTTTTACGAATTTCTCTTGGATTTGATGTTCGTAAAAAACTCTTCTTTTTATCTCTCTCTCTCTCTCTCTTTCTCTTTCTCTCTCTCTATATATATATATCTGCCTAGTTATCTTTTTCTCTTTTCCTATCTTGTATAAAAGTAACAATAACGTCGAAAATACGCGAAATTTTCTTACCCTGATCTTTCGAATTTCATTTTCGTTTTATGACAAACCGCACGCGCGAGAGGTTTGTCTACCGTTTTTGAAAATTTTATACCCAGCTTTTTCACGTACGCTGTGTCCTTTTGATCCGAGGGGTAAGAAAATCGAGCTATCGTCGAAAACTTATTTCGTATAGGGGAGGAATACAATTTGAATGCAGCGCCAAACGACAGGTTCAAACTTCCATACACAGAACGTATCTCTCTACTCTACTTCTATCACCCTCTTCCTCTGCTTTTCTCTTTAGGGTCACCATTGCAGTCCCTGTGTGGTACAACATGTGCATACAAAATGAAGGGAAGCTCCTAGACGTTCCCCAAAATACGTCTTCGTAAATTTTTCTCCCATCGTAATGTTGAAAAAGAAAAAGCAAGAAGAAAGGTCCTTTTTTCGTTCATCTTTCGAGGATTTCGTTGATTTTACGAATCTTCCTATCAAATCCCATTCAACATTCGGTCCTTTAAATTTATAATCCTTCGTGAAATAACCATGTAAATTTAATACAAAGTTTTGATACTACCCAACAATAAATTTCTCGGCAAACTACACGTTTGTTCTCGTAGATTGTCCATGAGTTCTGACAAAGTATTGCCAGAATCGACGAGCGAACGAGTATGCTTTTATGTATCAAAGGAGTACAACGCCGTCGAACGACTAGTAACCGGTCGTTGGAGCTTGTTACGTTGTTACTGCTTATAAATTTATTTACGACACGGCGCCAATGTTACGATTGTAATTAAACGTTGAGCGTGACGTTGGGTCAGCTACCGTTGGTTACTTCTTCTACGCGTAACACGACGGTCCTGATTTTACGTTGAAATTACGAGCAGTGATCAACGAGGAACACGTTCGATCGCTCGCACGACTGACTACAACGCTCTGTGAAACGACATTTTGCAAGTCTAATGAAGTAGTGAGGCGAGAATAGAGAAATATCAAATAGGAAGAGTTATATTATCGATGATCTCTATTCGACTATCGAGATACGATCGATATTTATAAATTTATTGAAGTTGAATAATGAAATTTCGTCGTCTTTGATTTCTACGAAATAAATTGAAAGAAACGTGATAGACAAAATAATATCTATGTCTTGAGATATTCAATGACAGTTTTATCGAAGAAACATATCTATCTCGAATCGAATTATCATCAACAATTAATCATGATTATACTTTTCATCGTGCTTACTTTCCTTTTGTTTTTCTTATCGATATGCTGCCAGTCGACTTTTCTCATTCAATTCCATCTTGAAATTCTACCAAGGTATAGCAATTATCTATTATAACGGTCATGAATTTCTCTTCTAGTCTTCTTTTTAAACGATACGAACGCTAATTGTTAACGATCGTCAATATAATATAATCGCATAGCTCGGAGCATCGCTGAGCTCACGATAATGATTTCAATATCAAGTTGATATGAAAGGAATGAAAGCGAGCTTCTTTCCTTTGTTATTACGAAGCTTCGTTTTAGATCCAAAAATCGATGATTTCCTCTTAATAGAGAGATATTATTAAATTTATCGTGAATAATGAACCGTAAAATAAAGATGGAAACGAACTCGGCGAATTACGTATAGAGAGATTTGGCCCATTAACACGAGTTAATGAGAATGAGATAGAGAGAGAGAGAGAGAGAGAGAGAGAGAGAGAGAGAGAAAGAGAGAGAGAGAGAGAGAGAGAGAGAGTTGGTTTACGCGTGAAATACAACCATTCTACTTCCTGCGATATATTCCAACGTGATTTTGGATGAATGTCGTTTGGCAACTACTTTATAAACATTCGTTTCTTACGTAATTTTCGGTGTCGTCGGACCTTTAGAAATTTCTCACAAGGGAAATCTCGCTGGTGCTTTGAAGAAAAAAAAAATAAATAACAAGTTACATCTCTTTCAAGGAAGACTTTGGGAAAATGGACGGACGTAAGGTTGCTCGAAAGTTCGTGTAAACACATGAATAAGTTCGGTACGTTGGTCGTTAATAAGCCGAGAGCAAGTAATCGAAGGTAATCATTTGGGTCAACCGGATTAGCCGTCGTAGTTAACGACGATCCATTTTTGAAGATAAACGTGCTCAGCCTGCCTCCGTAATCTCGATGACCGACGACGTAATACAGCGAGCGCATTCTGAAATCAATGGGGTGTCTAACGATTGCCCAGGGACCGATAACTGCTAGGATAACACGAAGAGAGAGAGAGAGAGAGAGAGAGAATACCAACACTGTAACATACATACGTATAGCCTTTCTAATCAACGCCAGCTGCGGAGGTTGTACCGCGTTAACATCACGATGTATTACAGGAAATAAAGAGAGGAAGGGGAAGGGGGAGAGAGAGAGAGAGAGAGAGAGAGAGAGAGAAGTGAGAGCGCGAGACAATACACGTGGATAATGCATTCAACAATCTGTTGCATTGCTGCTGACACCACAAGGTAATTGGCACATGTATTAATGAGCACCACAACGAGAAAGACCTGAATGTCTGAATTAACGACGAACGTGACGTCGACATTACACGTGTTCGCCATTCACGACGATGTTCCAAAAATCACTGTGCGATTAACGGACTAACAATTAGTATAAATGAATGTTTGGATTACGTTTAAGAAATAAAACTGTTTATATGGGTATAAAGAGTATCTGATCAAATTATTTTTCTTTGAAGAGAGATCCTAATAAAAAATTTAATTACTAAGAAGCAATTGTACTTAAACGATCGGAACGATCAAAGTGTTAAATCGTTCATGTGTCCATTAAGCAAAACACGAACAAATAGATCCCATGTACATAGATATATAGTACATAGATCTTATATGTATATGTATAAAATCCATCTTAGTCCAATATCCTCGCAATTACAGAAAGTCAGTCCTAATACGGTACGATTCATAGTACGTTTGACATCTCTAGTGTGTTCATCTTCATAGTGATCGTCGTTACGGCCTTAGGCGGTGTTGTCAGAAAGCCAAAGAGAGGGAGAAAGAGGGAAAGACAAACGGTCAACGATTTATTAAACCATATCCTAACATAAGGAAATTATTTCTCCGGTTATATATATATATATATATATATATATATATATATATATATATATATCTATATCATATGACATATCATGTTCACTTATGATTTTAATCAGTAGCAATACGATGTTATCGATAAATCGAGATATTACTTTAGAACGAAATATATCACAAAGAGGTCTTGCCTCTAAAGAGAAAGAGATAGAAACAGACAGAAAGAGAGAGAGAGAGAGAGAGAGAGAGAGAGAGAAAGAGAGAGAGAGTCACATCCAGCCATTTATGAAAGCGGCATTATACGATCATACTATGTATACATGATAATATCCGCCTATACGCGTCCATTGATTTGCTTTTGCTAATCTGGGAGAAACAGCTGCATATCATATACGTACGATCTATTTTCATTCATATGCGAGGAAATGCAGTGACGCGCGTCTTTTCTTCCTTTGATACCTGCCACATAGGTACGTTATGATATGGTACATATTCCTATTGATAGAACGATCCACTAATGTCGTATCAAATGACGTCATCCAATTACATTTTAGTTAGTATAAAGAACACGATAATATATTACTATATATATATATATATATATATATATATATATATATATATATATATATATGTATAGCTATCAAAGAATAATGAATAAACAGAAAGTGTGGCTTCGCTTAAACATTCCCATAACTTCGATAACTTTATTATGAGGAGTAAAAGAAAAATTTCAAGAGAAAGATAGTATAGAAGAGAAAGAGAGAGAGAGAGAGAGAGAGAGAGAAAGATAAGTTTGAGATAGACTGCACGTTTTGCGTGTTAGCCACGGCTAAAAGCTTTGAAAGCGTCATTTTTCATACTGCATCACGGCGAAAGAATATCGTCCTTGATGTTTTCGCTCGACGCGTTTGTAGGTACATACGTAAATATACAACCCACATACGCATATGCATGCATACGTATACCAACTATATCTTTGGCGTTGGCACTCGACGGCAGCTAGGCAGATATATTTTGACCCAGTTTTTGAAGCCATTAGAAAGCAGGAAGTCCGATATCGTCCGCTTTAAACGAAACAAACTCTATCGCGCTCGATCGATCTTTTTCTTCCTTTTTCTTCTCCTCCATCTATTCCTCCTACACTTCTTCATTGCTTCGATGAAACGCGACGACGACGAAGAGGGAGCATTGAATTTTGGTGCACAATGCAGATCACGTTTCTCGATCTAGCTTCAAATGCCCCGATACGTTTCTAATCTCCCAACCGAACCTCCAGAGTCTCTTCCGGCATAGTCGTAACGTGAATAATGAGTTTCCTTCTTTCCTGTAATCTTTATTTATCTCGATCCATTCATCGAGTCATCCTACTTTAAGGAGAGAGGAAGCTTAACAATCGAACGACGTTAGAAAATCGTTCAACTTATTTTCATCTCGAAAGAAAGGTTAAAATCAGTTAATAATAATAATAATAATAATAATAATATTAATAATAATAATAATATTAATAATAATAATAATAATAATAACAATAATAATAATAATAATAATAATAATAACAGAAACTGATAAATTATACTGTGGTATCTTGTGTTCGTGCACAGGATATTGGACTCATTAACTGGAGAGTACGTGGAAGGGTCGCTTCCGAAAGGGGTCGGAAGGAACAGAGAGAGAGAGAGAGAGAGAGAGAGAGGGACTACATTCGGTAAGAGGCGTCCCCGTGCGTGTCGAGAGCTAGGATCGATATGGAGAAATACGGACTACTAATCTCCGAAACGCTTCTGGATAGTGTCACTCTGATTGCTAACACGGAAAATGAAGCAATTATAGGTACCGCCTTTGATCAAACTCGGATGCTTAACGAAGCGACGCTATGAGAGATGCGATCTGACGGAGAATCATGATCGACTGTGAGAAATTCATATCTCCGTGAAGATCTTTCATGGAATAAGAACGTACGTATGCATATTATTACGAGTAGAATAGAATACTAATTACTTAAAGAAGATCGTGACAAGAAATTTGAATAATTTCTATTATCTATGCGCTCCTCTATTATCCTTACTCTATTATCATCTCTAATAATTGTAATCTTTTTAAAATTATCGAACACACATACACATATAAACACACACACACACACACACACATATTTGTTATATACGTAACGCTTTAGTTATGCTAAAATAAAGCAAAAATATAAAAAGAAAGCAGCGAAGAAAATAATTAACGTTTATTAAAAGACGAAAAAATACGATCCAAAGTCGAAATAAGTAAATATATACATATACAGATCTCAATCTCTTTTCACAAACTATCACCGAAGTAAACTTCTCCCTCGGTTCTCCTCGATTCGAAAGGAACGTCGCGAGCGTTTGGGAATCGTGCTCTTCTTCCATCCAATTGTCGTCGTGCAAAGAACGAATTCGAAGAAACTTATTTTCCTAGCGTGAGAAGAGGTAACGCGCGCGTGAAAAACATATCGAGAACGCGGTCTCGTATCTCAACATCCCTTTGGGACCGCTTGTACGTCCTTCTTGGCAGATAAGCAGATGTTGCTTCGCTCTTACAAATAGAGTCTACGAACGTATGAGCTTGCCTGAGCTTGGGATAGAAAAAAAAAAAGAAAAAAAAAGAAAAAAGAAGAAGAAGAAGAAGAAAAAAAAAACGTATCGTGTGTATGGATGTACATACATACGTAAACGTAACGTATGTACATACATACGTATGTACATCCATGTACATATATACGAAACTACGCGTTTCTCGACTGCGACACTGGGGATGCTTTCAAAACAACACGTTTCTCGCGACATGACTGAAATAATGTTTTCGTGCGGTTAACCATCTCGCAGACGACTTTTCTACTTTTTTTCCATCTTTTTCTTTCGAAAAGGTAACATATAATGCGATGACGCTCGTAATCGCTTTATTCTTTACTTTCCTTTTTCGTTCAACTTGAAATCTTAATATCGCGATATATTATTATGCTCATATGTATTTTATACTTTTATCTATCAACCATCTTGCCACCATATCTTATTTTTCTTCTTTTTATATCTCAATGTCTTCGTTATCGAACTTTATCATTTCATTGTGGAAAATTATCGAGGAGGATAAAATTAATATCGCGAATTTGTTGATTACTACGATGTTAGAGAGAGAGAGAGAGAGAGAGAGAGAGAGAGAGAGAGAGAGAGGGAGAGAGAGAGAGAGAGAAAGGAAAAAAATTTTAACTGCAAAGAACGAAGTAAATTTAAACAAATATACATATATATAGATACGTCTCGTTCGCATTTTGAAAAATCGAAGTTGAGAGGTAAAAGCTTCGAAACCGTGCGCATCACAATGGTGACACTTCGATTGATCGGAGTTACATCATACATACATAACGCGCAGCATACCTGCTCGCAAGGCTCGTCCGATTTTTCTATTTTACCCGAATAGACCTGGTTTGTCGGTCGTTTTGAAAAAGCACCATCGGAAGTAGAAAGTCACCATTTTCGATTCCGCCGACGCCAACGTCGCAGTTGCCGTCGAACTACCTTTTGTTCCACTGACAAAAAAGAGAGAAAAAAGAGGGAAAAAACAAGAAAAAAAAGAGAAAAAAAAAGAAAAAAGAGAAAGACCGATTGGACACCGGCAATCACGATGCCATCTATACTCGATGCTATAACTAACAAGGATAGAAAAGATAGGTATTACGTCAAAGAAAAGAAATAAGAGGAATTTCTTGTCAAATAATATAATTCGTTATCTTATGGACAATACTTTATAAAAAGAAACTCACTCAATGAAATAAAATTAATTTCATAATAAATCTAATATTTATTATTCGTTATTCTCATTATTATTATTATTATTATTATTATTATTATTATTATTATTATTATTATTATTATTATTATTATTATTATTATTATTATTATTATTGTTCTCGTAATTATCTTTATTATTATTCTCATCACGAGTCTTTGTTCAATTTGATTCGACGTTTGATTTTTTTTATTTGTAACACGTGATAAGAAATTCTCGCGCGTCATTCTTTCTTGATAAAGATTTGAAAAAATATTAAATGGATTTAACGATCGCTTAAATCATTACCATTCTTAGGAAATAAAAATGAATCATACGATCATACGAAAGAAAATATTAGAAATATAATGTGCACGTTGCTAAAGAGTTAATCGCGCATCGGTAGAACCATCTCGGTTGCTTTTCTTTGATAGAAGAAAAAAAAAAAAGAGGTTGTATCGGAACGAAAGCTTGGGGCACGTAGAGGGAATAAAGGGAGAGAACGTTGGTAATAAAAGATGCCCTTAAGCGTTTCTCTGCAAGGCTAGCAGATAAATAACTTCGAAGCATAGAACGCTATTGTGATTTCTGATTTGTTCTTTTCGAGACGAAAGTAAAAAAAAAAAAATCGAGGAGTCTATCTTTTTCTCCTTTCTCTCTCTCTCTCTCTCTCTCTCTCTCTCTCTTAATCTTCGATTTTCTCATAGATATATTGTATAATACGTAAGCTCGTACACCTCGTATGACGAGAAACGCGAGAACTCAAGTGAGATGATTTCTTTTTTCGCGCATAAAGAAGAAGAATTTCTTTAAGGTTGGCATAAAAAGCGATTTGCGAACATGAACGTTGATATATCCCGAGTAAGCATAATTTTAATCCTTTGGCTTCACTCGATAACAATATAGAGGTATTCGTGGCGACGTTACAAATCCATAAAAACGCCAATATAAAGAGAGTCGAAGAAAGAAATAGAAAAAGGAAGAAAAAGAGAGAGAGAGAGAGAGAAAAAGAGAGAGTAACAGACAGAAACGGAGAGACGGAGATACGGAGAAAATGTGAAGGACAGAAAACGAGAGGGAGAAAAGCACACGCGAAAGCCATTACTCGAAAAAGCCACTGCGCGTAGCACGTTCGGTCTCGGAAGCTCGAGGATGAAGAGAGAAAAAGAGAAAGAGACAGAGAGAGAGAGAGAGAGAGAAAGAGAGAGAGACGGAATCATGGCTTTTCGATTACGAAGAGTACGCGACCGCATTGCGCCTCTACCTCCCGTAATCTGGAAAGACAAGGAAACTTCAACGAGGAAAAACGTGTTTGAGAAAAGCTGCAAGTTCTCAATAAAAGTCGTTACTACGAGGGACGCGTTGGTTTTACGCGGATGAGAGAGGAAAAAATAAAAGTCAAGAACTATAATGGAAAGGGGTTGGTTTAGAATAAGAAGTGAGAAACCGTAGTCATAATCGCGATTAATATGACATACGCGGGGCGGCACCTCGCCTTTGGATTTCTTCGAACGACGTATAAAGTTCACAGCGGGTGAGATCAGAAATTTATGGTATGGCCGTACTTCGAACGAACGGAGATAAAACGGGCGGAAGGATCGCGGCCACGGCCTTACGTTTCTCGACCGAGCGACCAAAATCTTGTATAACGCCTGAGGATAATCGCACGATCGTTTCGGAATATTTTACGCCTTCCTAAAGCCACGTTGCTTTCCTTCTCATCCTTCTCATCCTCCTACTCCTTCTCCTTCTCATCCTTCTCATCCTCATCCTCCTCCTTCTCCTTCTCCTTTTTCTCGTGCTTTTCCAACCCTTCTTTTTCTTCCTCTTTTGAACGTGCGGACTTTACCTAACCGTGCTTAACTTTTCACCCTCTCTTACCGCTCATCTTCCTCCTCTCTCTTCTTCCTTTTTTTTCTTTTCTCATTACATCTTACCAATCAGATTTCCAATGTTCTACGTAAAGCACAGATCAAATCTTATCGTTCTATCTTCGAAATAAAGATTAATATATTACGACGTATGGCATTTTTTTTATTTGCAAATTATTTGCAAAAAAAAAAAAAAAAAAAAGAAATATTATCTAAAGATCTTCCATTCATTTTTCCCCTTTTATAGAACTCAACGTTGTTGAAGACCGGAAATTGTGTTCAAGAAGAAAATTTGATATTAGATTATAACTATTACAAGAGATACACGGGGAACATTGTGGAATCGATGAAACGATCGAGATAAATAAAAGATTCGGTCGTTTCTTATCTCTCTATCTCTCTCTATCTCTATCTATCTCTCTCTCTCTCACACACACACACACACACACACATACACACACATACTACACTTAGTACGTTCATAGTACGCGACAAATTTCAAGAATATCCATGCGATTTATACGAACGAAAAATAATTCTTTACCCGTTCATGGGCTCTGAGTCCTCCTCCCTACTACACCCCTCTCAAGCTCTCTCGGATTACCGTTATCTCGTCGTCGTCGCTGAAATTCAACACCCACACGATATTTAGCTGGTCACTGCTTCACCCTTAACCTCGTAACCGTATATAACGAGTCCGCTCCCTGGTATAACCGAGAATGTACACACATGTACGTATACAAGACTATGCGCCGAGAACGCACGTATACGAAAGTGAGAAAGAAATAAAAAGAGAGAGAGAGAGAGAGAGAAAGAGACAGGGAGGGAGGGAGGGAGAGAGAGAGAGAAAGAGAGATAGAAAGGTTGCTGGGTACACGAGATAGAGGAGAAAGACTCTTTTATACTAAATTCAGGGGGTTAAGCGTCTCGCCACCAACCCTCTTACCTGTCCAGCATAGAAAATAGGCCGTTTTTTGTCCTTAGTTTGTCGCATCTTCTACGTACTTCCTCTTGTCTTTCTGCACGTTTATCTATGTATACGTTTAGTGTATACGTGTATGAGAAAAATAGAGATAGAGAGAGAGAGAGAGAGAGAGGAAAAAAAAGATAGGAAACTAGAAAATGTTGGCTTTCGTACAAACACACAAGGGACCGCACACGAGTCGTCATTTCGCTCGGATTTCTGGAATTTACGATCTTGGAGATCGCCCAACGTCGAAAATATTGTCAGAGATGCGAATGCGTTTTTGCTGGCGAGCGATTACTCACGAAGAAACAAGAATCTAAGA